CTTCACTGAGTTACGCAAGCCCCTTCGCCACGACAAGGCAGTGATCCATGAAGGGGCAAGACATCCATAGCATCACATAAATTGCCAGAAGCGGAGATGTACAATTGGGTATCATCAGTGTACTGATGATACCTCATCCCATGGCAACCGATGAGCTCACCCAGCAGTCTCATGTAGATGTTGAATAGAAGAGGAGAGAGCACCAACCCCTGAGGCACCCCACACAGTAAGGGCCAAGGAGGGGATCTCTCCTCCCCAATCACCACCAATTGGAATTGACCCTGGAGAAAGGAGGTGAACCAGCACAACACTGTGCTGCCCACTGCCAATCCTCTGAGTCGATCCAGAAGGGTACCATGGTTGATGGTATCAAAAGCCACCGAATGGTCAAGTATGGCAAGGATGGATGCACTACCAGTTGCAGTTATCTATATCCTTGAAAAGCACTTAACCAGCATTAAAAAGCAAGTTCTATGCTATATACACACACAAGATTTTGAAGCACGAAAAGAAGGTATTGGCTGCAATGTTTATAGTGAATTACATCTTATTAGAATCTGTTTTTATTATGCTTCTAGTTTGTTAACCTTTATTAAGCACAAAGAAAGCATTGCAACTCATATTGCAAGGTGGAGAGTTTTCATTTCTCCACTTGTGTTTTTCTTCCACTTAATTAGTTTTCTATGCCATTAAACATACCGTCCTCATTGGATTGTTTTGTTTTTTCCCTTCATTTTGGGATGGAGAAGTTTTACAGAAGCTCAATCATAGCTATAATACAATCTGTAATTGTTTCATTGCTATCTAATAGACAATGCTCCCTTCTATCCTTTGAGAATATTTAAAAATATTCTTCCAATTTGGGAACTTTGAAAAGAGAGCAATTGGAATAGTGTAGGGCCTGGTGATGAGACATATAAGGAATAATTTAGAAAGCTACTTTTACATATAGCTTGGAGGGGAGAAGACTATGGAATGCTATTCAGATATATGAAAGTCTGCCATGCATAAGATGGAACAGACTTGTTTTCTCTTGCTGCAGAAGGCAGAAATAAAACCACCAGATAAAAATAGTAAGGAAGCAGATTTTAGAAAAACATTAGGAAAAACTTCTAGGAGACTGGAAAATGATGGGTTCTTTTTTGCTGGAGGTATTTAAACAAAAAATCTGTCAGAGATGCATTGCAGATCCTGCAATTCTTCATTACAGATCCTGCAGTGAGGGGCTGCATTGAGGAGCCTTACAACATTACCTCCAAGGCCCCTTACAATGCTTTAATTTTTTCACTTTTTTTTCTCTGGCTGCTCTATTCCATCCTGCTGGATGTCTCCTGGAGGAAGAGGAGGAGTCTGAAGATTCACAGCATCCTTTGGAAGACAGAGCTAGTTCAAATCGTGCTGCAGAAAATATAATAGTTGATAGTGATATAACTGCCCAAGTCCCCTCCCAGCATCCTAAAAAAAGGCAACTTCTAAAAGTCCAGGTTTGAGATATAGCTGCTGCATAAACCAAAGGCAACACAGGACCCGCACAGCTGCTATACTGGAGGCTCTCCTATTGACTCTTAAATTGCTTGCAACTATATTGCCATGAGTAGCTGGCAAGTCTCAGCATATCCAATGTAGCATACCTTTATTTCTATTGTCCAGTCCCTGCCTTTGCCAAGATTAAGAAACTGGTACACTTGGACCTTTCTGACTATTGTCTCTTCTTTTACAGCCTAACTTAGCCCCAGCTGAATGTAAACAGGCTGGTCATAAATCACAGGGACACTTACTGATGTAATTGCTTGTCAAGTCACAAATCTCATTCCGGTCTTCCATCTTCATTGCTGAGGGCCAGGCAATTGCAAAGTTCTGAGTCAAGCCAAGAATCAGTGTGCAGTCCAAGCGAGATGGCCAGGTTCAAGGAGTAAAAGAGTAGCTGATGTTGGGTAGGGTCCAACTGCTTTATAATACAATGAAAGGCAGGTACAAGGAAACAAGTTTAGGGCTGTCACAAAAGTTGCTTCTATATCTAATGTTCCTTCATTCCCCAGTGCTGATACTTGAAACTGTATAGATCTGATTTACTGGAGTTAGATATTGCAAAGCCCCCTATTTATATAAAACTAGGTAATAACTGAGAACTGGTAACAAGATATCAACAGCATCAGGATAAACCTGTGTTTTCCTTCTGGTGGAGAGTAGCAGCCAATAAGAACTTAGCCACTATGGATTCTCAAACTGCAGAAGCCTTGGTGTAAATTCTGTACCTTCACTTGCAAATAGCCATTCCTTTGTTTTGCAGACTTCTGGTTCTCTACATGCTGCCTACAGCATGCCCAAGGGCAAAGAGAGTTTGACTCCACTTTCAGCTCCAAATCCTCTATATCCAGGCAGTGACAGTACGGCCTTCACTCTCCATTTTCTCAGCTAGTATTGGGCTTTGGTTCCTTGGCTTCTGAAGTTCTTTTAGTTCTTCTACCTGCTCATTCAGATGATGTATGCAACTGGGCCTTAACAGTTTGAGACTATTTTTGGATTTGTATTACTTAATTGCTTTTCTTGATAAATTGGACATGAATTAGCTCAACTTCAATGATTATGGATGTATTACAACTTCAGTTACCAATAGTCTTCATTAAATTATCTGTAGTTTCAGGACCTGTAATTCAGAAACACATCATGTACATGCATTATTATGATGATTTGCTCAAAAGCTTTTCCCACCCCTGAAAATGATTTCAATCTTCACCAATTTCTGTATTCCTATCTTAAATTTGAAATTATCTGAAATGAGTGATCAATGCATCAATAATAAGCCCTAGTCTTTACTATGTCTGCCCATTTATCCTAACTTACCTTAATAGGTACGTTAAAACTTGATCTCATATATGTTAAAATATTATGCAAAATTTTATTTTGGGGTATGCTTTGAACCAAGCACACTTTATAAAGAAACACATAAACAAAAAACAAATTAAGTTCTTCCTTAGAATATTCAGGAAGATGTTCAAAATAAATCCTAAAACACTACAATGGCATATCAGGTAGATACAGGTAATTAACTGTCAGAAGGTAGCCAATTAAAAATGTTATGATTCAATGTCATGACATACATAACTGTTTATAATGCTGATTATGCAGTTAATTCCAGTGTTCCACTTGCTGGATGCAAAGATTTCTGAGTGAATGTTGATACTAAGTTCAACCAGTGTCAGCCATTAAAATGATTGCATCCTTTGGTGAAACATGGTATTATAAGATCTTTTGTTGATACCACATCACTTTGTGGAGCACTATGAGGGGGAAATCTCTATCCAACAACTTCAGCAATGTAGTTAAGTATGTAATTAATTTTATGTTCAATCTCATGCACTTGGGGGAAAATTAGATATAAGGAGATTCACAATTGATAAATTTAAAATAAAAAAATCAGCTGGAAGCCCAATTTGGATTGTGATTATAATTGTATGTGCCATTTTTCCCAATAACCAATCTTCCAGCCAACTTGATATTCAAACTTACAGGTACCCTACACAGTTTTCTCTTACTGTTATTGCTCTTCACACAATTGCTTTTAATATGCAGTAGGGCTAAATTAGTGCATTGTGACATATTCTCTAGCCAAATGATCAAGCTCAGAAATGTCTGCTTTGCTCCAAAATATTCACAAATGTGCCTGTAGCACTAGGAAATTCTGTACAAGCTCTAGTGAAATTAATGGCAGTAATACAAAATCACATTCTGAGTAGATGATTCCCTAGATAAATAAAGTAGAATTGTTGAGATGAATGACAAATGAGACTGTATAAATATTTGAAATATCCTTGGAAACTTCTGCATATATCATCACTGTGGTAAGTGAAAAGCTACATGAAATTCTGTCACTGCATAGAGAGATCCAGGCTCTCTTCCAAATTGAATATGAGGCATTTCACAGCCCTAATATATACTACAATATTTCCCCACATACATTTAAGTCTTTCCATGTTTCTCTTTGCCAGAATCTCCAAAAATAAGCATAACTACAGAGAATGTATAAATCTGGCAATAATATTTTAGCCTACTGTCATTATATTTACCACAGAAAGAATGACTGGCTGTCTATACAAATGCAGCATCAATCTTGATTTAAAGTTTGGGGTGCAGTAGTAGGTTGGAAACAGCCTTTCCCAAATTTGGGTATATCCAGATGTTTGGAAACTACAATTCCCCTTATTCCCTAATTAGTGTCACTGCATAAAGGAGCAACAGTCCAAATCTTCTGCAGTACCCCCACTGGAAAATACAGCTTAAACATAATTATTTGTCTCTTTACATTGTTTCATCAACAGGAATGTGTAATGTTATAAATATAATGAAGGGATTTACCAAGAAGATAAAGCTATTGTATAATTCATCCTATAATTCACACCAGTGACTGCTACCCATTCATTTTGGTAGAAAAGGAGGCTAGAGCTTAAATACATACATACATAAATTAAAAATTAAAATAAAATAAAATAATGCTTGTCTACTTTTAAAGAAACAAACTCTTCCTCTGTCTGCTACACTCATCAGTTTTCCAGATTGGTTATTTTGCTGATCTTAGCAGGAAAGAAATAGCAACAATGAAAACATAATTGCCATAAATATATGTGCAACAGAGGGGTCTCATATTAAAATCTGGTTTTGGTACAGTGAATCACTTTTGAATATTGCACGACATGATGAAGAACTTGTTTGTTATCTTTATTGACCTATTTCCCTGCTTTTTTCAAGCAGGGCACTTCATGCCAAAAGAAGCTAGTCAATTGCTAACAACTGGCAGGCATAAGACATCATTATACTGTACATTCTGAATCCTGAATCTAGAAAAATTTAGAATTAGAGCTCCTCCACAGTGGACCAAGCCTACCTGTGAACTCTAAATATTCCTTTGTGATTTTGGAGAATCAGATATAGTTTTCCTGAGACAGACACTACTGAGAAAGAGGGAAGAGTGACTAGTTTCGTGATCATTGCAGCTTCTATCCATAGTAAACAGTCTTCCCAGGATTTTCCTGTCAGAGTAAGACTGATACAATATACCAACACTACCCATGGAATATAATAAACCAGATATACTCAATCCAGCTGAATAGTAAATAAAGATAAATTTCAAAGTAGATAAAAATATTTGGTGAATTCAGGCACATGAATTATATTTTATGATATATAAAGCATTATGTGTATGTCATTTAACAAGACATTCTGGTCCACAGGAAGGGTTCCCCCCCCCATATAAAATACTGCCTCCTACTAGTGATGTTTTTGTAGGTCAGTCATAAGCTATTCATGGTCCCTTGCCAGAATAAAAATATAGAGATGGGGAAAGACTCCAAGAATCTGATGATTCACTTTAGAAATCTATGCAGAAATGAAACTTTTCCAGTGCCTTATGGAAACATCACCTTAACTGAAAATTACTAAGCAACATACATTTGAACTAGTATGAGCAAAATTTGAAAGTGTACTAATGTATCACAATAGGATCTCATTACATACTGAATCCATGTGATGTTCAAAAATCATCTACTAGTTTCTCCACGTCACAGAAAACTGAGGTAGTTTCAACTTAAACTTCTGAGAAGTAGTTCAGCTTTTCACAGTGAAATTCCACACTCCAAAACTGCCCAGTAGGTTTGGGGGAGGGAGGTCATGCTTCACCTTGATGAGGTCCTTTTGCTGTGGAGGCAATGGTATTTGCTTCATGGATTTACCTTTACAACTTTAGGGATCTCCTTCACCAACTCCAATAGCTGGAGGAGGCTTCTGCAGTGGAGAAGTCTCTCCTAGCTCCTAGGTGCTAGGGAAGGCTGCAAAATAGGCATGAATTAAAGCATGGGGATGGATGTACATTGCTCATGAAGCAACTTCAAATAGATTGATTTATTATATTACTCTCCTGCCTTCCTTTCATAGAACTCAGAACTGTATGAACAGGCTTTTCAGGCACTGATTAACTTTAGAAACATTGATGCATCATACACATCCAGATATGAAGTGGGATGTAGTTGCCAATTCCAAACAGCAAATGACTCAGTGAAATCAAGTCTACTAATGCAAATAGTTTCCATTTAAGGAAAAGGAAGAAGGTAATTCTCTCTTCCATCTGCAGTCTCCTACACAATAACACACAAAATCTGTTCCAGAGGGTTCCTAAGGCCTCTAGAATTGAATTTGAGCACATAATGATGGACATAATTGAGGAAAATTTTATTTGCATAATATTGGATTGCCCCCGTTCCTTAAGTATTCTTGGGTTTAAAGTGTATAGATTGGAGAGGGGGAGTTTGAGCCATTGTATTTATTTATTTAATTATAAAGTACCAATGTTTTTTAAGTATTGCATGATGATTAGACAACAAAATACAGGAAGAAGAGGAAAACACAGGACATTTGGAAGTGATCTTCTGCAGAGCTACCCAGAATGAGCTCCAATGAGTTCAGTGGGATTATTTTAAATTCACATATGTGTAGAATGCTACCTCAAAACCCAATTCAGACAAGTTATTTAATGTTAAAATTTGAGAATAATTTAATTAAGTTATACTATGTTTGTTAGATGTCTGAATATCTGCAGAAAATCTTTCTCAGTAATTTGGGCATTTTGAGAATTTATCCTCCTTCTGGTAACTGTAAATGTGTATATACACAGAGAGGCACACACACATTTCTTGCAAATCTAGGAACGTTTCTGACATTTCATTGATGGGATAACGATTATGGAGATAAATGATAACAACGGATAATCTAATTAATTTAATCATGAATGTTAAGAGAGTTTATAAACAGGACAGAGTAAAACAAGAATTAAAACAGTGAAAATAGAATTAGATTGCAATAAAATGGCAAACTAAAAGTAGGAAGCACAGATAAGATCAAACAAGTTACTACTTTACCATAGAAGTGAAATGTAAAGCCAGTAGTGATATGAATTCATACTGCTGAATTGAATCAGAACTCAGTCTAATGGTAACAGGCCATCATCTTGGAAGCACTAGTTCGTATGTTTCTAATTCTGATTTAGAGACAGCAATTCTATGATGAAAGAGATTAAGATCTCCATTTTTTTTCAAGTAGAAACAACAAGATTTGGTAATTTTGTACCTCAGATCTTGACAAAGTTTGATTCCTTAAAACAAATCAACAGATTGGTAATGTGTTCTAATTATTGAAAGTGAAAATAATAAGACCCAATGATCTGACACCAAAAGGCATGATAAGTACAGAAGCTTTCAAAACCAGTACAGTATTGAATGTGCAATTCCTGGAATATTGTTTGCTGTGCTTAAGCATACAAATCCACAGATCATAACTGTGACCTGTAGTATAAATCCTTTGTACAGGATTTCTCTACAAAGTATTTGGATAAAAATGTGCCCATTCTTCTGAACCAGTCTCATAATTATACAAATATAGTTCGGGGGGGGGGGTTATA